GGAGGATGAGAAGGGAGGATGAGAGGGAGGCGGAGGGGGAAGGAGTTGACCCGATACAGTTTTAATAACGACAGGTCGAGAGGCGCTGAACTGCGTCCTGTATAATAAACTTGTTGGCCGTTGGCACTGATTGGAGACGAGCTCCCGAAACACCTCTCTGCTCGGTTCGCCTCCCACCGCTCCCTTTCCCATCGCCAGCCAGTCATAACTTTTCGCTCCCCTTTTTTTTTTTAATTTCTTTCCCACGGAGGAGAAGCGCCACGCCCCGGACACAATCGACAGCATCACCACCATCGCCAACCACCTCCTTCCCCATCATCACCACCATCAACATCATCAGGAAAGACGCCACCATCACCGGTCATGAAATGGCAACCGGCGAGAAAGGCGGAAAAGTTAGCTCCATTGTCGGCTTACTCTAATGAAAGCTTGCGATGAATTACAGTGAACCCTGAACACTGTAGTGTGGACGGTAAATTTACACCGTGAGCTCCGGTGAATATCGGTTTAAGTTACAGCGATCCACCCTGATGCAAACCCTAGCTCAGGGTGAAAAACGGTGAAAATGCACCGAAATCTACCATGTTAAACAGGGTTTACAGTCGCTCACGGCGAAATTACAGACGTAACCTTTAACAGTGTATACATTTTCGACACGAGAGTCATCATCGACATGTCATTGCCATATGACCGTCATCAGGATCGACATGACCAAACAGCATGACGCCACTCACTGGCTGGTCTGCGGGCAGAAGCCGGCAGCCAATCTGTCGCCAATAATCCCTGACCTCCACGCCGGGCCGGGGCGCCGGCTGACATCACCGCGACGTCCCCAGCCTCCTGGCGAGTGACAGAGGCACGCCATGAGGCAGGCCATGAGGCAGGCCATGAGGCAGGCCATGAGGCAGGCCATGAGGCACTCCATGAGGCAGGCCATGAGGCAGGCCATGAGGCAGGCCATGAGGCAGGCCATGAGGCAGGCCATGAGGCAGGCCATGAGGCACTCAGGCCGGGGGTACGGTCACCGTGTCGTGAGGGACGCTCGCGTGGTCGC